AACAAAAAAGCAGGGGTTGGAATTCTAATTTCAGACAAAAAGTTTCAAACCAACAAAGATCATAAAAGACAAAGAATGGCATTACATAATGGTAAAGTGTTCAATTCAGTAAGAATACCTAATTAGCCTAAATATACATGCGCATGACACAGGAGCGCCCAGATTCATGAAGCAAGTTGTTAGAGACTTAACAAAGAGACACAGACTCCCACACAATAATAGTGGGAGACTTCAACACTCCATAGTATTAGATCTTCAAGGCTGAAAATCAACAAAGACATTTGGAACCTAAACTCAATGCTGAAATAAATGGATATGAATAGACCATTACAGGACTCTCCACTCAAAACAAGAGAATATAAATTCTTCTTAGTGCTTTATGGCACATACTCTAAAACTGAACACATAATTGGACATAAAACAATCCTCAAAAATGTAAAAGAACTGAAATCATAACAAACATTGTCTTGGGCCACAGCACAATAAATGGGAGTCAAGACTATGAAAATCACTCAAAACCATGCAATTACATGGAAATTAAACAACATGCTCTTGAATGGCCTTGGGGTAAATAATGAAATTAAGGCAGACATCAAAAAGTTATTTGAAAATAATAAAAGATACAGCATAACAGAATCTCTGGAACACAGCAAAGGCAGAGTTAAGAGGGAATTTCACAGTACTAAATGCCCACATCAAAAAGTTAGAAAGATCTCAAATCAAACCTCACTTCACAATTGAGAGAATGGGAAGCAAGAAGAAATCAACCCCAAAGCTAGCAGATGAGAAGTAACAAAAATCAGATCTGAACTTTAGAAATCAGGACGTGAAAAACCATTCAAAAGATCAATGAATCCAGGAGTTGGTTTTTTGAAAACAATTAATAGGCCACTAGCTAGACTAGTGAAGAAGAGTTAAGATCCAAATAAACAAAATTAGAAATGACAAAGGGAATATTACTACTGACCCGACAGAAATAAAAACAACCATCAGAAACTACTATGAACACCTCTATGCACACAAACTAGAAAACCTAGAAGAGACGGATAAATTTCTAGACACATACATCCTCCCAGGACTGAACCAGGAAGAAGTTGAATCCCTGCACAGACCAATAATAAGCTCCAAAACTGCATCAGTAATAAATAGCCTACCAACCAAAAAAAAGCCTTGAACCCTATGGATTCACAGCCAAATTCTACCAGATGTACAAAGAAGAGCTGGTACCATTCTTACAGTAACTATTCCAAAAAACTAAATAGGTGGGACTCCTCGGCAACTCATTCTATGAGGCCAGCATCATCTTGATACCAAAACCTGGCAGAGAGACAACCAAAAAAGAAAACTTCAGGTCAATATCTGTGATGAACATTGATGCAAAAATCCTCAACAAAAAATCTGTACATCAAATCCAGGAGCACATCAAAAAGCTTATCTACTGTGATCAAGTAGACTTCATTGTCTAGATGCAGGGTTGGTTCAACAGACAGATATCAATAAATGCAATTTATCACATAAACAGAACTAAAGACAAAAACCAAATGATTATCTCAGTAGATACAGAACAGGCATTCAATAAAATTCAATACCCTTCATATTAAAAACTCTAAATAACCTAGATATTGAAGGAAAGATCTCAAAATAATAACAGCCATCTATGACAAACCCACAGCCAACATTATACTGAATGAGCAAAAGCTGGAAGCAATCCCTTTGAAAACTGTCACATGTCAAGGATGCCCCCTCTCAACACTTCTATTTAACATAGTATTGGAAGTCCTAGCCAGAGCAATCAAACGAGATAAAGAAATAAAGGGCATCCAAATAGGAAGTCAAACTATCTCTGTTTGCAGACATAATTCTACATCTAGAAGACACCACAGTCTCGTCCCAAAAGCTCCTTTGGCAGATAAACAACTTCAGCAAGGTTGCAGGATACAAAATCAATGTATGAAAATTACTAGCATTCCTGTATACCAACAACAGCCAAATCGACAGCCAAAGCAGAAAAGCAATGCCATTCCCACTTGCCACACAAGAATACCTGGGAATACAGCTAACCAGGGAGGTGCAAGATCTCTACAAGGAGAATTACAAAACAGTGCTCAAAGAAATCAGAGAAAACACAAATTGGAAAAACATGCCATGCTCATGGATAGGAAGATTCATTAAAATGGCTATACTGCCCAAAGCAATTTACAGATTCAGTGCTATTCATATCAACTACCAATGACATTCTTCACTGAACTGGAAAAAAACTATTTAAAAATTTACATGGAACCACAAAAGAGCCTGAATAGCCAAGGCAGTCCTAAGCAAAAAGAACAAAGCTGGAGGCACGTTGCCTGACTTCAAACTAAACTACAAGTCTACAATAACCAAAACAGCGTGGTACTGGTACAAAAACAGGCACACAGACCAATGGAACAGAATAGAGAGCCCATAAATAAGGCCCTACAACCATCTGATCTTCAACAAACCTGACAAAAACAAGCAATGGGGAAAGGCTCCCTATTCAATAAATGGTGCTGGGATAACTAGCTAGACCTATGCAGAAGATTCAAGCTGGACTCCTTCCTTCTACCATATACAAAAACCAACTCAAGATGAATTAAAGACTTAAATATAAACCCCAAAACTATAAAAACCCTGGAAGACAGCCTAGACAATACCATTCTGGACACAAGAATGGGCAGAAGTTTCATGACAGACAGAAAAAGCAACTGCAACAAAAACGAAAACTGACAAGTGGAATCTACGTAAGCTCAAGAGCTTCTGCCCAGAAAAATAAACGACTGGCAGAGTAAACAGACAACCTACAGAATGGGAGAAAAATTGTGCAAACTGTGCATCTCATAAAGGTCTAATATCCAGCTTCTATATGGAACATACACAAATTTACAAGAGAAAAACCCCATTAACAGGTGGGCAAAGGACATGAACAGAACTTCTTAAAACAGGTGACACATGTGGCCAATAAGTATGAAAAAAAGCTCAATATCAATGATGATTAGAAAAAACAAACCAAAACCACAATGAAATACCACCTCACACCAGTCAGAATGGCTATTACTAAGAAGTCAAACAAATAACAGGTGCTTGTGAGGTTGTAGAGAAAAGGGAACGCTTATAGACTGTAGGTGGGAGTGTAAATTGTTCAACCATTGTGCAAAGCAGTGTGGTGATTCCTCAAAGAAGTAAAAGCAGAACTACCATTCAACCCAGCAATCTCATTCCTGGGAATACACCCAGAGGAATGTAAATAATTCTACTATAAAGACATGTGCACATGAATGTTCACTCCAGCACTAGTCACAATAGCAAAGACATGGAATCATCTAAGTGCCCCATCAATGACAGATTGGATAAAGAAAATTTGGTACACATACATCATGAAATACTATGTAGCCATAAAAAAGAACGAGATCATGTCTTTTGTGGGAACATGGATGGAGCTGGAGGCTGTTACCCTTAGCAAACGAATATAGGAACAGAAAACTGAATACCGCTTCTTTACACATGTAAGTGGGAGCTAAATGATAAGAACATATGGAACACAAAGAAGGAGACAACAGACAACGGGGTCTTCTTGAAGTGGACAAGGCAGAAAGAAGGAGAGGAGCAGAAGAGATAACTATTGGGTACTGGGCCTAATACCCAGGTGATGAAATGTATGTACAACCAACCCGCATGACGTGTTGACCTATATAACCTTCACATGTACCCCAAAACCCCCCAAAACAAAACAAAAAACAAAATGGCTGGCTAGAATATGGAGAGTCATTTGTTTCATAGAAACCATTTTTCTTTCTACTTTCTTAATGTGTGAACTAATACAATATAGAGATCAAATCTACAACAGTTAGGAAATCCTGATACCTAGGCGGCTATTCTTCTTTTGGTTTCTTCAAAATCCCTTTAAAATGCACCAAATTGGGAGTAATACTCTAATAACATGCTAATTACTAGTAAGTCTGTAAAGATAACTTCTTAACTTATTCATTTAATAACTTCTATTAATAAATCCCAGTTATGCCATCTTTGATGGCCCTTGAGTATGAAAATGACCTGACCATGTAACAAACTATCTCACAGGTGACATCTTAAAACTCTGTAGTCACTATGCCACATATTTGCCTCTCAAACATGTTAGAGGACTTACCAAAGTCAGTTTCAGTCTATTCCTATTAAGTGTTACTAACTTAATCCAAAATGTATTATTTGTGTAAATTGAAGGTGGTTCCTAATTTCATTATCCAAGTCATTGTTAAATTATTAAATATTGTCCTAATTACTAAACAGAGTCCAATGGAATATCACTTATTATCCTTTCAGGTCAAGATAGAACCAAAAAGTAACAAGTATTTATAGAATGTACAAAAGGCTCTCATGCACACTGGCATTTGAGCCTTCATTTATTCAATAGTATTTAAGGCACAGAATGCTAATCTATGCCAAGCATTGGCTAGACACTGGAGTTACAGTGATCCTTACAATAATTTATCGAACTTGTTAAAACTGCAAATTCTCAGACCTCACTCCAGACCTACTGAATCAGATTTCTGGGCATGGGACCCAGCAATCTGTTTTAACAAGCCCTCCTGGAGATTCTGACACATGCTCAAGTTTGAGAACCACTGCCCTGTAAAATATAGCCTTACTTTACGTATTAGAAAACTGAGATTCAGAGAAGAATAAAGACTTGAGATACAAAAGATACTTTTTTTAACCACTTTTTCTAAGAGCTTAGAAAAGTGTCTGACATATAATATGGGCACCTGATAAAACTGGTTGAAGAAATGAGTCTTCAAGTTGTGCCATCACCCATTTATGGCAATAGACAAGCTAACATCATCCTAACGTGTTGGAAATCTGCATACTACAAATGAATGTATTTCTTCTGAAAAAAGCAATGTTCAGCATGACATCAAAAATTATAATTTAAGTATTGTTTTGACAGGTTCCTAAAAGAACTAGTTGCCAAAAGGGATCACTACAAAAGCTATTCAATTTTTCCATACCTTGTTATTTTGCCTTAATTTATTTAACTCCAGTTTATACTTTTCTGCTTCTTCTAGAGCTCTATTCAAGCGAACCTCTGTGGCACTTTGACTACTTGCAGCCTGTTTTTGCAATCTTCTTTTATCTTCTAATTCCTGTATGGTAAAAAAAAATATAGAACATTTATAAATACATCATAGGTTCCCCCCTTTATCATTCTGCAGTATTTTCCACATCCATATTCCTTGCTTTCTCTCAGATTTTACACACACACACACACACACACACACACACACAGACACACACACACACAGAGAGAGAGAGAGAGAGAGAGAGAGAGAGCTAGAGGCTGAACACCAAGTGTTAGACATCTCAAGGAATTCTCGCCCCAAACTGGTATTAGAGAAATATATCCTAAAAAACATTGTGTGACCTGGGCTTTCAAATTACATTTTGTTTGGAATTTTGTCTGTTTATTGACTCAAGACACAGTATACCTGTCCTCTATTTTATAAACAACTCTTTATAACTATATTTCTTCTTTTGAGAACCTCCCAAAAAAACCAATGTTAAGACAAAGCCTGCACTGTTTTTCTGTATACCTGACAAAGTATATCATTTAAGGATATATTCATCAAATACAAACATTCTATATAGCCCTATAGGAAAATCCCAATTCTGAGCAGAAACAACAGATCTTATAGATTATTTTCCACATCCTGGGATGAGTTTAGTCTTATATTTCTGCAAACATTCTAGGATATTCTGTTGCAAAGAGTCAACAGGCCAACACCTGAAGAAACATGAACATAGAGGATAAACTCCAAACTCCACCATAATCTTTACCCTGTTAACTAGCCTCATCTCCTGCCAAAGATGTTACTTTCAGTAATATCAGCAGTACTTGGATCTCTCCTAAACAGCCATGGTATTTCCTGTCTCAGTCTCTGCTCATGCTTTTCCTCCTAGCTCTGATCTCTGCCCACTCATTTTTACCTGGCTAGCACCTACTTACTTAGCTAGGTTTGTACTCTAGGGCATTAGCTCCCCAGGACATATTTCCATTCTAATCCTCACTATCCACCCAGATTCTATTAAGTACCCTCTTCAGAACTTCTGTAGCACCTTTAGACACATTTATCATCATATCTGCTATGTGGTATTGAAACTATTTCTTAACTTTATTTCCCCCATTGTAGTGTAAGCTCCTTGAAGAAAAGACCTGTCTTAATTTCTGCGTATCAAAAACACTTCAGTGGCATATAAAAGACACTAACAACATGTTAATTAAACTGAACTTATTTTGTAATACTAAACCCACTCTTCTTTATATCCCCTACAATGTAAGGCCTAGTCCAGAGCCTTACTCAATAAATTGAGCAGACACTCAAAAAATATGGCAGAATAAAAATGATGCAGTTAAAATACAGTTGTCTATATTCTTTTGTAATTTTTTTCCTGGCTATCTCACTATATTTTATTTAAAAACTGATCTCCCTGGCTCTGAGTAATTAAGGGGAAAAGCAAAACAAAACACATGCTGCTCTTTATGTAGGTTTCTAAACAAATCAAACTGTGTATGGATACCATCTGCTATTATAGCCTTCTTCACAGTTTTGTGGGTGGTAGCTACAGGTAGAGCTAGCTTGATTTATCTTACTGTTCACACAGAAAATGCAAAGATTCTCATTAGCTACAAAGTCCACATTTCTTGCTGCCTCATTCCAGCCTTCCCTCTTAAGAATAAAGAAATGAATTTTTGCCCTTCTCTTGCCTGCTGGTGACTTTGTAACCTACTAGAAAAATAAAAAATGTAACCTACTAGAAAAGTGGAAAACATCCTGTACCACATGACGTCCCCTATCTGTGAATCAATACTGCCCCCTTCTTGGGAGGGATGGGGGAAAAAATGACAGCCAGAATAGAAAAGAGGAAATAAAGTTTTTCTAATGAGTAAATCTACTAAAAAAAATTCTACTGTTACAAAAATGTAAGCAGTTACATGTTGCTAGACAAAAATTTCATGAAAAAATCTGAAGTCTTGAGTTGTACATTCATTTTTTAAAAACTAAAAAAAAATAAAATTTAACATTGAAATTCAAATACTATGAGCTAAAAGAAAAAATAATTTATCACTCTCTCATGATTATTAAACAATACATAAAAGGCACTGGGAGAGAACAAGAAAAGAGGGGCATTCATCATCCACAGCAGAAGACAAAACGTAGTAAATGCTCTGAGAATAACACAAAGCACCACAGGTAAGAAATAAAAAGATAAGGATAAATAATCAAGGTTTCATAAACAAGTAGCTAAGATATAAAAGAATGGACTTGGAGTCAGAAAACCTGCCAGCTGTGGTAGACACATTTCCATGGCTGAAATTAGGAGTGATACTATCTATACCTAACAGGTTTCATTCATTTATTTGACACATTTATCAAGCACTTACTACATGTCAGATACTATTCTACATCCATGGGCACACAAATTAACCAAAGTTCCTCCTCTCATGACGTTTGCATTCTAAAAGAAGAGACAGAAGAAGAACACATATATACACATACACATACGTAATATCTAGTAGTGATAAGGGCTATCAAGAAAAAGCAGGGAAAGGGGACAGAACAATGAGGGAAGGGTATTAACTATTTAAAATAAAGTGGTCAGGGAAGTCTTCCAAATGAAGTGAGGTAATGATTCAAGTAAAAATCTTGGGGAGTGGCTCACGCCTGTATTCCTAGCACTTTGGAAAGCCAATGCTGAAGGATGAACCCAGGAGTTCAAGACCAGCCTAGGCAACATAGGGAGACCTTGTCTCTACAAAAAAATTAAAAATGAGCTGGACATGGTGGCATATGTATGTGGTCCTAGCTACTCGGAAGGTTGAGGCAGAAGGATTGCTTGAGCCTGGGAGGTCAGGGCTGTAGTAAGCCATGATTGCACCACTGTACTCCAGCCTGGGCAACACAGTGAGACCCTCTCTCTAAAAAAATAAAATAATCAAAGCTCTTGGGGAAAGAATTCCCAGACAATAGGAACAACGAAGACAAAGATCCTGTAGTAAGAATCCATTTAACATATTGAAATATCACCTAAAAGGTCAGTGTGGTTTCAGTTGAGTGACGAAGGCACAATGTTAAGTCTTGAGATAAGAGAAGTGGGCAGGACAAGACTAGGTGAACCTTGTAAGCTTTACTTACTTACTTACTTACTTACTTACTTACTTATTTATTTATTTATTTATTTATTTTGGAGAAGGAGTTTCACTCTTGTTACCCAGGCTGGAGTGCAATGGCGCGATCTCGGCTCACCGCAACCTCCGCCTCCTGGGTTCAGGCAATTCTCCTGCCTCAGCCTCCTGAGTAGCTGGGATTACAGGTATGCACCACTATGCCCAGCTAATTTTTTGTAGTTTTAGTAGAGACGGGGTTTCACCATGTTGACCGGGATGGTCTCGATCCCTTGACCTCATGATCCACCCGCCTCGGCCAGCTTTACTTATAAATTTGGATTTTATTGTGAGTGACACAGGACCCTTTGGAGAATTTCAGTGTGTATGCATATGTGTGTGTGATGATCTGACTTAAGGATTACTCTGGACCTACTGTGGTATTACCAATCTAGGAGGCTATTAGAATAAGTAGAAGATAGTGGCTAGGACTTGGGTAGAAGTAATGAGCGTTTTGAGAAGTGGTTTATTCTATGTATTTTGAAGACAGAATTGATGGGACTTGTTGATGAGCTGAATCTGGATACAGGAAAAGAGGTAGATCAAGATGACTCCTCAATATTAGACTAAACAAATGCCTTTTACTAAGAGAGGGAAAAGGAGGAGAAGCAGGTTTGCTGAGGGCAGGGAAGCAATAGTTTCCTTTAGGATATGTGAAGTTTAACAAACAGTTGAGACATCAAGTGGGCAGAAATGAAGAGGAAAGAGCAAGAAACAGAAAGGTGAAGTTATCAACATACAGATGGTCTATAAAGCCATGGAACTGAATGAGATCATCTAAGGTTTAGATATAAACAGAGAAGAGACTTGGGCATTCCACCACGTAAGGCCAGGAAAATAATGATTGTGGTGCTCCAGAAGCTGAATAAATAGTGTTTCAAAAGAGTAATCGACTACATCAAATATTGCTGAGACGTAAAACCATGCGAGGAACAGCTGACCACTACAATGGACCACAACTACAATTGGTGACCTTTTAAAGAATACTTTCAATGGCAGAGTAGAGATGGAAGCCTAACAGAAGTATTTTCAGGAGAAAATGGCACATGAGATATAAAGACATTGAGTATAAACAATAATTTTGGAAAGCTTCATTACAAACAGGAGCAATGCTATAGGACTGAAAGTAGATATAAGATCTAAAGAAGTTTTAAAATAAATATATGAACGATTCTATGGCATGTTTGCACATTAATGAGAATAATCTGATAAGAGTAAATTTGATTTTGCGAGAGAAAGAACAATTGCCGGCGCAAAGTCCTCGAGTAGAAGAGACTATATGGAATCCAGTACACAAGTGAATGGATCAGCTTTAGACAAAAGAGGCAGTAATTCGCTGTTACCTGGAGTGGCGAGTGGCACAGAGGCAGAGAGGTTGTAGATTTTAGTGAAAGGATGTTATCTTTTGATTCTCTTTCCTTAAGAAAAAGGGGGCAAAGTCACGAGCCAAGTATAAGGAGGTAGGAAGGGGTATTGAAAAGTTGAGGGAAAAAGGCCAACTGTTTAATAATCATCTCTAAAAGTGGGAGAGGGAATTGGCTTCTTAGAAAGTGAGAGGAGAAAATGCATTACACTTGAGATTTGTAAATAATAAATACCCCAATGTCTTAGGTATTAACAATGCCTCCAATGTCTTGGGTATTAACATTTGCAAATTTCTGTAGCCAGCTTGAATTTCTCCTCAGAAAATGGGATTTTCTTTTCCACTGCATTGTCAGGCTAACAATTTTCCAAACTTTTGGGCTTAATTTCCCTTTTAAAACTGAATGTCTTTAACAGCACCTAGTCACCTCTTGAGTGCTTTCATGCTTAGAAATTTCTTCCACCAGATACCGTAAAATCATCTCTCTCAAGTTCAAAGTTCCATCTCTAGGGCACGGGCAAAATGTCACCAGCTTCTTTGCTAAAACATAACAAGAGTCACCTTTGCTCTAGTTTCCCACAAGTTCCTCATCTTCATCTGAGACCACCTTAGCCTGGATTTCATTGTCCGTATCATTATCAGCATATTGGTCAAAGACATTCAACAAGTCCCTAGAGAGTTCCAAACTTTCCCTCATTTTCTTGTATTCTTCAGAGCTCTCCAAACTTTGCCAGCCTCTGCCTCTTACCCAGTTCCAAGGTCACTTCAAAATTTTTGCCTATCTTTTCAGCAGCGCCCCACTCTACTGGTACCAATTCCCTGTATTAGTTCATTTTCACACTGCTGATGAACACATACCCAAGACTAGGCAATTTACAAAAGAAAAAGGTTTAATGGACTCACAGTTCCACATGGCTGGGGAGGCCTCACAAACATGTTGGAAGGTGAAAAGCACGTCTCAGTGGCAGCAGAAAAGCGAAGAGAGAGCTTGGCAGAGAAACTCCCTTTTTTAAAACCATCAGATCTCCTGAGACTTACTCGCTACATAAGAACAGCACAGGAAAGACCTGTCCCCATGATTCAATTACCTCTCACCAGCTCCCTTCCCCAGCAAGTGGGACTTCAAGATGAAATTTGGGTGGGACATACCCAAACCACATCAAATGTTTTATGTTCACTGAAAAAAACAGATTCAAAAGGCTATATCCTATGTGATTCTACTTCTGAGACATTTGAGAAAAGGCCAAAATGTCAGAACCAAAAACGGATCAGTGGTTGCCTGGGGCTGGGATTAGGGAAGGCCTTGACTAAATTCACAGAGAATTTTTGGGGGTTGATAGAACTGTTTTATGTCTCAATTATAGTGATATTCATACTACTGCATGCATGCATCAAAACTCATAGAATTGTACACTAAGAAGTGTGAATTTACTGCATACAAATTATATCTAAGTGCATCTGATACTAAAATTTATTACCAGATAATGCTAATTATACAAGACCAAGATGTTTAAAAAGCAGGGTTTTAAAATATGACCATACGAAAGAGAAATGTAATGAGGTACTAATGAAGGAGGCACATTTTCTTACTAAATCTCAGATGTGCTAAATTACATAGTTATTGTCACTACATTTTACAAAGTAATCTCAAACAGCATATTATCACAATGGTATACTAATATAAAATTTTTAAAGGTAGGATAGTTTATTTAAAATACATTCTCTCCTTAGATATGACACCAAAAGCAAAGGTAACCAAATAAATATTAGATAAACTGGACTTCATCAAAATTTAAAACTTTTGTGCCTCAAAGAGTACGATAAAGAGAGTGAAAGACAACCCACTATCTTTCAGTATCTGATCTGCAAATCATGTCTCTGATAAGGGCCTTGTATCTAAATACATCAAGAACTTAAAAGTTCTCCTTATTCAGTAATTTTAAAAAATTTAATTTAAAAAATGGGTAAAGATCTTAACCGAAATTTATCCAAAGAAGATACACAAATGCCAACAGGCACATGAAAAGATGTTCAGTATCATTAGTTACTAGGTAAATGCAAATCAAAACCACAATGAGGTAACCCCTTTACACCTGCAGTATGGCTATAATCAAAAAGATAATCTAGTAGATGTTGGTGAGGATGTGGAAAAATTAGGACCTTCATGCACTACTGGTAGGCATGTAAAATGGTATGGGCAGTTTGGAAAACAGTCGGCAATTCCTCAAAAGGTCAACACAGCATTTCCATATGACCCAGCGATTCCATTCCTCACTATATAACCAAGAGAAATGAAAACATATATCCACACAAAAACTTATACATGAATATTCAAAGTAGGGTTTAAAACAGCCAAACAGTATAAACAACCCAAATAACCCAAAGCTACCAATTGATAAACAGATAAATTAAATGTATTATATCCATATAACAGAATATTAGTTGTCACTAAAAAGAAATAAAGTACGGATAGGTGCTGCAACGTGGATGAACCCTAAAAATATCTTTAAAAGTCAGTTACAAAAGACCACATATTATATGATTCCATGTATAGGAAATTTCCAGAACAAACAAATTTATTGAGATATAAAATAGATTAGTGGTTGCCTAGGGCTGTAAGGGATTGAGGGGAGCAGGGTCAGGGTGTGGTGGCTAAAGGGTATGAAGTGTCTTTTAGGGATTATGAAAATTGGTTGTAGTGATAGTTGTACAATTCTATGAAAACACCAAAAGCCACTGAATTGTATACTTTAAAAGGGAGACTTACATACATCTCAATAAAGTTGTTGAAAAATATTCTCTGTAAGGGGAAAGAGTTTTCAGTAAATCCTAATAAAATAACTGAACTGTCAAAATGGCATCTATACAAATGTGTAATATTAATAATTTTATTGTATCTTTGGAATTAAGTTAGAAAATATACCAAAATAATTACCCTTTCTACTGAAGACAACTGTTGCTGTAATCCATCACACTTTTTGTTTGCTTCTTCGAAAAGAGTCTTATATTTTTCAACTTGAGACTGTTGCATATGAATTGTTCGCTGCTGTTTCATAAAATCTTCTTCAAAATTTTTTACTTGTAACTTTAAATTCTGAATTTCATCCTCCTGTAGTTATGAAATTATAGATTATGTGAAAAAACATAAGACTTGGTATCAAAACAAAGCAGAAAACAAAAAGAAGCTTCCTATGTTCTTTGATATTTATACACATTTCATGAAAAACAAATCACGGTCTGTCTTCAAAAATGGAAGTCAAATGTTTTATTTGCATTTAATAGCTTACACTACCACTTATAAGAGAATTCTAATTGTGACAAGAATTTAAGATATTTCAGCTCTGTGAAAATTCATCTCAGAATAAAGTTCAGTACTTATATACAATTTTTGAATTCAAAATTTAGCTATGATTATATCTAATAAAGCTATTCAAAAAATGTAATTGAAATTGCCCTATAATGTCTTTGAATATTAGAGCCTTTTAAGAGGTTTTCAAAACTTACCTTTTTATTGCATTCACATGCAACATTATCCAATTCTTCCTGCATAACATGGAGTTTGGCCTTTAGAAATCTGAGCTGTGCTTCTGTGAATTTAAATAATTATATTTACTGAGTTTTGCTGAATCTAAGATGACCTCAATTGTAGGACAGACCATTACTTTATAAAGAAGAAAACACTCAAGATGGGGAGTCTAATAGGAGATTATCTGTTAGGGGGCACTGTAGGCACAAACAGTCCTAACGTAAAGGTCAATGAGGAATAAATCCACTCAACAGAAAGAAACAATTAAGTTTGCAGATTAATTCACGCTCATCAGGGTGATCCAAACTACATATGAGAATTTAAAGTGGTCTCAGGTCTAATGACCCAGAGTGTTTGACAGGCACAGACATAAATCTTCTCTAACAAAACTCAGCTTCAATCCAGCCCTTGTGATTACAAAATGTCATTGACTGTAACAGAGATCCCAATTTCTGAGAAGTTAAAATGTAGTATATGTGTTTGTGAAGCAAAGAAATACACTAATACCTTACTGTCTAAGCTTTCTCCCACAAACCTTCAAGATCTATCTTTGGTACTTCACTGCCAGCAAAAGTTCATTATTCAATAATATCAGCAGTAAATCTTTTTGAAGTTTATAGGCCCATAAAGTAAATAAAGTAAAAACTGAACTTAAAATGCACTCGTAAGTCAGTCATTCAGTCATTTGTTTAAAAAACACCAAGTGTCTACTATCACAGCGGAGACTATATGGCATAGTAGGGATATTATAAAACAACCCTTAACACGTCATGGAACTTTTCTTGAGGAAACACTTGGAACTGCTCTGACAAGTCATTAGGACAAATTCCACTAAGCCATACGCATGTGACATGTGAAACATAAAACATCTCCATACACACTTCCAGCTGTTTTTAAGTGCCCTCAGTGTTACCATGGAGCTGATGAATCTTGGTTGCCTCTAACCCTACCTAGGTCTCTGTGGCCTTAACTCTCCTTCCAGTCTCTCATGTAACTCCAGGTGAGTAGGGAATAGAGGGAAATGAAGAATTAAAAAATGTAAAGTTGGCAGTAGTTGGCCTCTGAGGGAAAGAAGGAAGAAAAAACAGGAAAGCATGACTTTTCCCATTCATTTTTCTCCCTACCTTTAACCTTAGTAACTCTGCCTCAACCGTAACTCAAGAAGCTGAGTGCTCCCATGTCTGGAGGCCCACGGCAATAACCTCTGCTCCCCACTTGACCCTAGCTTTAATCTTACAAAGTAATCTGTGCTCCCAAACTACTTTATCTTTTTCACCCACATATAACCAAACCATTCCAAGCAATCATCTGAAATAAGAGGAAACTTTCCCAAAAGGGAAGACACCTAGGCCAAAGATATGAAAAAGAAAACAGAAGGGGGGACAAAGTTATAACAGGGCCATGAGACCTGTCACCATGTTCCTCTACCAAGGAATGATCAATGTCTTTCTCAAAAGCATCAAAAGAGACCTAAAGGCAACTTACTGCTCCACTTACCATCCCTTACCATAACTACCCCTAGAAGCTTGATTAGTTTAGTAAATACAGTAAGTGCAGAAGTAAATTGCTCCCTTATGACTAGTATGTAGCACAATAATTATTACACATATAAATTGTTAAAATTTTTCACAGAATCAGAGAATTTTAAAGATAAACTGACATGGTTTGGATCCGTGTCCCTAACCAAATCACATGATGAATTGTAATCCCCAGTGTTGGAGGTGAGGCCTAGTGAGAGGTGAATGAATTATGGAGGTGGTTTCTCATGAATGGTTTAGTATCATCTCTTTTGGTACTGTCCTCATGACCGTGAGTTCTCCTGAGATCTGGTTGTTTAAAAGCATGTCTCAGCTCCTCATGAGGCTGAGGCAGGAGAAGCGCTTGAACCCGGGAGGTGGAGGTTGCACTGAGCCAAGAGTGCACCACTACTCACACCAGGTGAGATTCCTCACTCCTTGTTTGGCTGCTGCCATGACTAGAAGTTTCCTGAGGCCTTCCCAGAAGCAGAAACTGCCATGCTTCCTATACAGCATGCAATACTGCGAGCCAATTAAACCTTTTCTTTATAAATTTCACAGTCCCAGGTATTTATAGCAGTGTAGGAACAAACAATACGTAAACTTTACGATCATCTAATACAAACTGCTAAATTTTCAAATGAATAAATTGGTATTACAGAGGGGCTAAGTGCCTTGCCTGTAGTCACAGTTAATTGCATTGTAGTTCAGCAGTAACTAGTCCATATATACTAAACTTACTTTGTTTCAATAGCATAGGAGGCTACTCATAAATTCAGTAATGTTTTTAGTTGATCTAAATTTAGTACTATTATTCCAGTGATATGCAAAGGATGAGTTAAGAAAAATTATATTCATTAGAAAACTCATTTGATGATTTTATCTGATGGGATGTCAATTCATTTGTCCTTTTGCATGTGTTGATTTAACTAAATAAAATTGAGCAACAGTAAATGAAAAGAATTCAGAAAAACTTTATTTTAATATTTTAACCATAAGGAATGGGTATTTTAACTTAAGTTGAAATGTATTCAATCAAACCAGTATAATACAGTCTTTTTTATTTTTCCTTTTTATAGTGGAAAATATGAAATATAAACAGAAGTAGGCGAGTTCGATGATCCCGACTTACCCCACTGCCTATCTTTAACAATAACTGACTGATGGCTGATTTTATTTCATCTATAATCCCATTCATTCCTCCCTCCACCATATCCTACTAGATTATTCTGAAACAAACCAAGATATCACAATACATTTTATAAATTTAAGAAATAGTTCCCCAGTATTTCTTTTTCTAAGTAACTGTGCTATAAAGATAAAAATAAAAAACAAAAGAAAATCTACCTGCTCCAATGTTGTTACCAGCACCAGAAAAAATGTCATCTATATATTCAGGTAAGGCTTCTTCCTCCAGTTGCCCTTCAATTTTGCTAAATGTTTCTGCAAGGGAAAAGTCTGAAAAATCCTCTGGAATGACAACATCGTTGGCAGTCTGTACATCAGAATATTTCAATTTAACACTAAAAAATAAAAATTAAATATGCATGTACATACATACCTATGAACAAAATAGGAAGGTAGAAAAGATACATGCCTTTTACCCAAATAAGCAGATGAAAATTATTATAAATTTAAATATATGGTGAAATCTGTAATTAATATTTTTAAGGATTATATTACGAGACTACTATTACACATTTTAAATTTACGATGATGTCTACATATACTTTCAAGGACTATATTATAAGAGAATTAGCAGGTTTTTGGTCTTTATGAATCACATGACCAGAGCTAGAAAAGGCTTTATGAGGCCAGACGGTCTGGACTTTGCCTCCAAATAAGAGAATACCAAAACTAAGAGTACTGCGCTTGGCCTACTAGGTCAAATCCAGCCTGTAGCTTTTAAATTTACATGCTTCTGGAGAAAAACTGTACAAAATGACATCACCCTGGCCATAATTCTGCAAACAGCAAAGAAAAATACCTCGTGAGAAAGAATTACAGAGTGAAGCGCTATTAGCTCAATCAAAGAACATTTTATCCACACAAAGAAACACATTCTTATTGCGATCAATATTAAACAAAAAGTTGGGTTTGATTTTTTTAATGAAATGGAGAAGTAAGACAAAATAAAATTCATTTCTAAAGGCACTGAAAATGGGCCAGGCCTAATTCATTGACACAAAAACAGATTTATGGTTCTCAAAGCCGAATTCACTCTTAAAACATAAGCAAAGGCTTCAGAATTCTTTTCATTTTAATTTTTTTGTGGGTACGCAGAAGTTATACATATTTATGGGGTACACGAGATGCTTTGATACAGGAATGCAATATGAAATAAGCACATCATGGAGAAGGGGGTATCCATCTCAAGCATTTATTGTTTGAGTTACAAACAATCTAATTACACTCCTTATTTTAAAAAAGCAAATAAGTTATTATTGGCTACAGTCACCCTACTGTTCTATCAAATAGGTCTTGGGCTTCAGAATTCTATTTGAAAAACCACATTTTTTTAAAAAAAGAAAATGTGACATTTGAAAAGATAGCCCTTCCCAGTTACATATACTTGTATGTATCGTGTATATTCTTTTTTGAAATCTATTGTATAGTTATTTTCTGTTCCTCATCACTTCACTTTTTCCCTCCCTTTTATTAAAAAAAAAAAGGTATTTAAACAAAAGACACAAAAATGAACAAAGAACTTTTCCAGAATTATAATGCAATTATCAGTCTGGGTAAGTAATGGACATATAAATTTTAAAACTTACTGAGAATAAGAAGAAGGTTGGTACAACCCAATCCCCCACCTTTGCTAGAAAGCCTCCTATCCCCGGGAGCATCTTGGGTCCCATTTTATGCTTATAATACTAAGCACTGTCTTGAATTCTTTCTCACCATAAACAACAAAATGTAAATTATAATTATACTATAGTCCTATTAAGAGCATGCCAAATCATTCTGTAGCTCAAAAGACAAAATAATGTGTGCACTTTGTCAAATACTCAAAAACTAGACTAGTTAGCCCATTTGGGAGAACTAGGCAGAGATAAAAAAAACAAACAACCCCCCAACACACACACCAAAAAAGCCCCTCAGTTGTAGTCACAGTTCTAAGAAAATAACTCACTAGAAATAACATATATAAAATTTTTTAATTTAGAAAGTTGGCTTAATGGAACAATATAAAATATCTGCTAATTGCTACAAAACATTTCTGAGTAGAAAATGTTCTAAGTTACTGAATGTGGGTAAGATATAAGTGGTGAAACTTTAGGGTATAAAAAGATCTGGAGAAACAGAAAGAGGTTAATAATTAAGAATGATGGTATTGTGAATTATGAAACTAAAAAAAGAAATACTTTGAAAACTATACTCTACCTTGAATTTGTTTTCCTTCCTTTATTTGCAGAGTGTAATTTGTTTTGAACCTTGTTTACAGGATCAATGTTTTTGGTCTTTGGCTACATGAAAATAATTGAAAGTCTTTATTAATTAGAGTCTAATCATTTGCTAAAGAAAGCAATACAGTAACACAAAGAATTGCTATTTTGCTACACAGAAAAACCGCTATTTTCATGGAATTACTAAAAATGTATTTTCAGAAATATCATAACTATATAGCTGGAAAAGACCTAGATAACACCAGAACCAAGAAATTCAAGGATCAGGAAAATGAGTCCTAAAGATTCAAAGGTATTCAGCTAGCCAGTGGAATGTCATTAATAAATCTGGACGTTCTGATTCACAGATTTTAATTTTCCTCCTGAACCAGTTATTTCCCAGGCAGGCCTTGGTGCCCTTCAGGTATACATTTCCCTTGGCTTAGGTCTCCATGGGTGGGAAACATAGATCCCAGTATGCTCTACACCTGGAAGAGTGATCTCTACACTGTAAATATTTAAATAAATAAATACTTTTCAAATCACCTTCTTTGTATATGAGTATCATTCTTTTCAATTCTTCTACTAGATTTAAGCTTCAGAGAAAAAAACAAAAACCCTCCGTTTACAAAGACATTTCACCTAGAATTTTTTCCACTGTACCTCCAAATTATTCAGTGAAATTATGAGACAACAAAGGATTCCATTTATTTTATGAGTGACATTTCATAAATGTGTCCCTCTGAGTATCAAGGTTGATATTCTATTTCTGTTGAGTCATACCCCTTCTCTTTGTCTAAAAAAGGCTGAAAAATAATCTAAGTTCTACAAAATGTAATTGAACTCACAGAAAGTTTGATTTCATACCTTCGTTTCTGAATGAAGATGAACTATCCCTTCGGATGGTAATGGACCTCTACAGATCAAAAATAAATATTATACACTGGTAACAGATGACACTGAGCTGAGACAATGAAATTCAACAATTATATTTGAAAGGGAAAACACTGAACAATCAAGTAGACTTTGCTATAATTCTAGTTATCCACATGCTAATTTATTTTGAATGAGTACTATAAACAAGTAAAATGCTTTGGTTATATAATTTGCCTTTGAGAAGATACAATATAATGCCAATATTCTTCTAGGAAAATGTAGCAAAAATTTTAATGAATGGAAATTATAAAGAGTGATTACTGGCTATCCACCCCAGTTACTCATTTTACAAACAATTCACCACAGGGCTTTTTATTGTGAGCCCACTCAATGTTACGGTTCTTCTAACGCACTTAAACATTTGGCCAGTGCCTGTTTTCCTCATTATACTGTGAACTCTGCAAGGGTGGAAATCATGTCTGTCTTGTACAATATTTTATACCTAGTCCATTTAAAAGCTTATATGCCAGGTACTACCGGCATAAGTATTTGCTGAGTGCATGAATAGCTACACCCAAAATGCAATTCGTTTTTATACACAAGGTTTTCAAAATATATTTGTAGTTTAAAACAAGGAGTATTTATGGAGGTCTGCAAACTATGTCCCACAGGTTGAATCCACCCACTCATTCATTTATATATTATCTATGGCTCTCTTCACACTATAGTCTTAAAGTTAAGGAGGTACAACACAAACCATATAGCCCACAAATCTAAAAATATTTGCTATCTGTCCCTTTACAGAAGGTTTGCCTAGCCCTGATCTATAGTCTTGGGCACTGTATTAGTATCTCTGAAAACATACCATGTTAGCATCTATTATTGCTATGAAGAAACTCCACCATATCTGCTGAGAACTCCTAACCATTGTAGGGGACATACAACTAAAATTATTTTCCATCAGATACCTCCTACTGAGATAGCCATGCATAATTTTTTTCAGTATTAAATGCAAAGATATACTTAGATAAACTTCTTAACTATTAGAAATATCTCTGGGAAGAAAAAAAGGCTTTCAAAATATGTTAAAAATTACAGAAACTAAAGAATCATTCTCACAAAGGACATGAAAATGTTTCCAAATATTATACAAATTTTAAGTGTCCTCTTTAATCTTCCTCATTTGAAATTAGTGTTTGTTATTTCCTTAATACATTTTCTGTACCTTTCATTCCATTCCCGAACACACATGCATACATATCAGCCAAAGGACATTTAAGGGTTATATGTCTCCATAAGATTTCGCAGTGATATTACTTTGTTAGTGTATTTCTGTCAAAAATGAGCTATAATATGGTCTTCTTACTGTTGTTTAACTCCATGCAACGTTTGTTTGTAATGCGATGGAAATGACTGTATGGTAAACCATGCTCCAGGCTGACTGGAAGATATGTATACTGTGTTATTAGAAAACTAAACTCTGGTTTCCCCATCACATTTTTTGACAGAGTCATCCTGAATGTTGAAGACCTATTATAATATACTCTTCCTAACTATAACTATTTAGGTACAATATCATTGTTCCAACCTGAAGTGAATGGCTTCTTCATAGAATTATCTCCCATATTCAGCAATTCCCAACTGTTCACCAAATGCCATGTTTTACATGGTAAAAGCCATCTGTTCAAATAGTAACAATAAGAGAAAAAACTATCTGATCTAGGTAAATAGAGCATCACGAGAACATCATCTTCTGTTAGCATCATTTCAGTCTTTTAATTTACTGGATAAATGCCATGTCTAATCTTACGTATAATCCAAATTTTGGAATTCTGATAATTTAAATATCTTTTTTCATAGAATATCAGAGTATTACATATAATAAGGATAAGTGGTTTGTTATATGTACACATAAATATGTATATCAAAATATAAAAATATTTAATTGATGTACTTTAAAAATACTCAAAAGCAAAACACATTAACTTCTTGGAAGATCAGGTCTGTTTACTCACCAGTGTAATACCAGTAACTTGACCTGACACAGTGTTCAAAAATTTTTTTCCTTCAGGTTTGAGATATGATTGATATCTCATACAATATACTCTTTTGAGTATACAGTTCAATACGTTTTAGCAAATGCATATGGTCACGTAAACACAACCACCACCAAGACAGTATTTCCATCATCTCAAAAAGTTCCCTTGTGCTGTTTGTTAGTCCCCTAACCCCTACCCAAACCCCAGACAACCACTTTGACTTCTGTCCCTAAAGTACTACCATTTCCAGAGCCTCAAATAAGTGGAAACATAGATTATGTAGCTTTTCTAGCCTGGCTTCTTTCACTTAGCAACTATGTTATTATTCTATTAGTAGTTCATTGCTTTTTATTGCCAAGTAGTATTCTATTGCATGGATACACCATAATTTGTTTATCCAGCCACCATTTGATAAATACTTGAATTATTTCCAAGTTTTGGTAATTATTATTAAAACTGCTCTAAAAATTTACATGCAGGTTTTTTTGTGAACATATGTCTATATTTCTCTTGGGTAAATATCTAGGAAGAAAAATACTGGATCACATGCAATAATTATTTTTGAATAAATGAATAATGTCCCAATATTTCACATGAGCCAAATATTCTCCCATGTCAGTAATAAACTTCTCTTTTGTTTCTAAACCCTGTAGGGCCATGCAGCTCTTACAGCCTGCTTCTTAATCTCGGAATACTGGGAGGTGGGAGACCCATAGTTATTTTAATATTTTTAAAGCCACAAATAATTTTAGTCCATTATTAAAGTTTGCCAATAAAACTTCCCCCAAATTAGTGAGTTTCTTCCCTAATTTCAGTCAGTTCTACATGCCATTACATTACCTACAATTCTTTTCAGGACTAATTATTTATTTCTTCACCTGACCTCTCTTTCTCAATTTAAAAATGGGTTACTTGTATACTGTCAAGCTTCTAAGGAGAGACTATAGCTGTAGTTAGGTCTTTGTCCTGGGCCATTTTATCCAAATAAAAAGTTTTACTATGTGCCATTTAATCTGATCCTTTCCCTGAGGAGCCTGAATCCACTGAAAAATTTTATCAGTGGTCATGAAGTCCACATGTTTAGTCTGATATTTGCCTCAAGGCTGAATTTTGATAGGTTTCTGTTCCTGAAACATTTTCTCAATTTTACATTGTAATTCTTGAGGTCTAAAACCACCTTACTTCACAACTCCACAATTACAACAAGGGCAATCAAGAGTGTGCTACTGTCATCACAGTTATATACATCAGTGGAACACTTATCAAAGTCCAAAAATAAAAACCGTATGTCTGTGGTCAACTGATTTTTGACAAGAGTGCCAAGAACATTCAATGGGGAAAGAATAGTCTCCTCAACAAATAATGCTGAACAAATGGATATCCATGTGCAAAAGAATGGAGGTTGGCTTAATATCACAAACAAAAATTAACTCAAAATGGATCAAAGAATCTGAATGTAAGAGTTAAAACCATAAAGCTCTTCAAAGAAATCATGGTTGTAAATCTTTGTGCCTCTGAATTAGATAATCAGGTATTCTCTTTTATTTCTGCTTGCAAATCAGCCAATTCTTTCCCAAAGTTGTCTCTTTAAGAGTACATACTGCTAATATTCTGTGTTCCATCCTCTTTCCCTAGAGAACAAGTTCATTAGACCACTGCTGTGCCTCCCAAATTACCACAAATGTCAGTTTTACTACATTCATTGCTGCTATGTAACATTAATCCTCTATCGTTTCACCCCCCAGTATCAGTTTCCTTGCTGGCTCTTCCCTAACTGCTAAGGTAATGCCATACTTCTGAGTTTTTTTTACACAGCATTCCAATCCCAATACCAATTTCAACATTAGCAAAAACAAGCAGGATAGTAACCTGAAAATTCCAGTGGCTTCACTGATTCAATATAGCAGCAGAGGGGGAGAAAAGCTGTTTTTTCAACATGTCCCACATATGGTCACCCAGAGACCAGGCTAGGAGAATTTACCAATTGGAATTCTACTCATCTGCATGGCATGGAAAGTCAGCTGGACATTCACTCACCAATTCTTGTCTATTCTGGCTTGGAAGAGATTAACTAAATTTCTGTTCATAGCCCACTGACAACTGTAAGAGACTTGGAACATTTGGTGATCATGATTGCCTCCGCTACAATATGATTTCATAGTTAATTAATGACATAGGTTCTACACTTTTCCTGTTTCCTCTAAAGTTTTTGAGATGAAGACAAGAATATACATTTCAAAGTAATATTCTGAAAATTACATGAGATAAAGAAGGTAAAGGGCTTGCATTGTATCTGACTGGTATAAGCCCCCTATAAATACATTATTCTTCAAATGGTAGATTTTCAATGTTACATGCAAAAAGATCTTACATAGTAAAAGATCCATACACATCATTAAAAATAAAGGTGTTTGAGAATTTAAGTTACTTACCTTAAACTATAATCATCTTTGTCATCACATGATTTCACTTGTGTTGAAAGAGGCCTAGATCGTACTTCTTGCCGATCTCTCTTAAATGAGTAAAGATAGGTCATATATCATGTAGGAAAAAAACAAGCCACTAAGATATATTCAAGTGCCTCTCTGAACATTCATCATTTCAGAACTGTCCAAGGTTTCCATAACGTAAAGGAACAGAATTCTATATGCTGTAGTATGAAGATAAAGTCTATAATACTAGTTGTACCTTCCATTTGTTCTGGGTTAAAAAAATTCCATCCTAAGGAGAAAATGTAAGAATATCAAGGCCTTTACATAATATTTATAACTCCGGCTTCCCCATCTCTTTAGAGCCTTCCATCTTATACAGCACACAATGGAAATTAGGAGGCACAAGAATGAAAAAAATAAATTCACTTAATGGGCAGAAAAACTTATATCGGGAAAAACTTTAATATTGAGAAGATGCTAAAATGTGAAAATGCTAAAAATGAAGTATCAGTAGTAAAAGCTTTTGGCAAAGACACATCAAGAAATGAAAGTGAGGCAAGATGGTGAAATAGAAGCCCACACTGTTCATACCATCTGCAGGAACACCAGATTTTAACAACTACCTGAACACAAAAACACCATCACAAGAACTGAAAATCAGGTGAGCAATCACAGTACCTGGATTTAACTTCATATCATTGAAAGAGACATTGAAGAAGGTTGGACAGATAGTCTTAAATCGCTGACACCACCCCTCTCTGACTCCCTCCTGCAGTGCCTGTGCAGCCCAAAGAGTCTGTGCACATTGGGGAGGGAGAGCACAGTGACTGGGGGACTGTACATTAAACTCAGTGTTGTCTCGTCAGAGTGGAGAGCAAGGTCATGTGGGGCTAACGCAGTACCTATGCATGGAGGAAGTATTTGGACCAGCTATAGCCAGAGGAAAAACTGCCCATCCTACGGGTCAGAACTTAAGTTTCTCAGCAAGTCTCACCACCACAGGGCAAAGTGCTCTGGGGTCCTAGGTAAACTTGAAGGGCAGTCAAGGACACAGGGATTCCAATTTCTAGGCAATTCCTAGTGCTGAGCTCAGCTCAGAGCCAGAGGACTAGGGTGGGACCTAGAGAGACACCAACTGTAACCTAGGGAGACATCAACTGGGGCACTAAAGGATTGCTTACACCACGCCTTCCCCAACACCAGCCAGTGCAGTTTGCAGCAACAAAAGTAGCTTCCTCCTTCTGTTTAAGGAGAGGAAAGAAGAGAAAAAAGAGGATGTTGTCTTGCATCTTAGATACCACCTCAGCCATGGAAGGCAGCCAATATGGTGCCAGGTAGAGTCACTAGGCCACCATTACAAGCCCTAGCTCCTGAATGACATATCTAAACACACCCTGGGCCAAGAGAGAAGCTGCTGCCTTGAAGGGAAGGACCCAGTTCTGACAGCATGCATCATCTGCGTACCAAACAGATCATGGGCCAAAAGTAACAGCAGCAATGCCAAGGTATTAATAGTATGCCATGGGCCTTCGGTTCTGAGACATACTGACTTCAGGGGTGACCCAGCACATTCCCACTTGCAGTGACTACTCTTTCTGCTTGTGAAGGCAGATGGAAAAGTAAAGAGGCCTCTGTCATTGCACCTTATGTATCAGCACAGTCACAGCAGGGCAGAGCACCAAGTGGGCTCTTGTGGTCCTGTGGCTCCTGTTTCCAGGAGTTGACTCTTAGACAGCATTTACAGACTTGCCCAGGGACAGAGGGGAGCCCATTGCCCTGAAAGGTGAGTCCCAGGCCTGGCAGCATTCACCACAACCTGACTGAAAAGCCCTTGGGCTTTAAGTGAACACTAGCAGTGGCCTGGCAAAACCCTGCTATGGACTAATGGTGGTCGTGACGACAAGGAGAGGCTCCTCTGCCTGTGGAAAGGGAAGGGAAGAGCAGAAAGGACTTTATGTTGTAGTCTGAGTGCCAGCTTAGCCACAAAACACTAGAACACCAGATACATTTCTAAGATTTTTAACTTTAATCTCTGACTCCTAGACAGCATCTAGACAGCATCTGTGGACCCAGCCAGGGCTTGTGAGAAGGACACAAACCTGGCTGGCCTCATCACCTGCTGATTGTAGAGTGCAAGGGTCTCAAGTGAACATAGGTGGTAGCCAGGTAGTGTTCACAACGGGTTGTAGGCAAGATCTAGTGCTGTTCTGGCTTCAAGTGTGACCCAGCACAATCCCAGTGGTGCTGTGCAGGGACTGCTTGCATTGCCATACCCCCAGTTTCAGGTAGCTCAGCACAAAGAGAAAGAGACTCCATTTGTTTGGGAAAAAGTAAAGGAAGGGAACAAGAACCCAGGGAATTCTTCTGGATCTTATCCAAGACCACCAAGGCATCTAAGAGTCTACCAGAATCCTAGTGATATTGGGTAGGGGACCTAAGTCCCTTCAAATAAACGGAAAGTCTTCTCAAGAAAGATGGGCACAGGCTGGGTGCGGTGGCTCACACCTGTAATCCAGCACTTTGGGAGGCCGAGGCGGGTGGATCACGAGGTCAAGAGATTGAGACCATCCTGGTCAACATGGTGAAAACCCCGTCTCTACTAAAACTACAAAAAATTAGCTGGGCATGGTGGCGTGTGCCTGTTAATCCCAGCTACTCAGGAGGCTGAGGCAGGAGAATTGCCTGAACCCAGGAGGCATAGGTTGCAGTGAGCCAAGATCATGCCATTGCACTCCAGCCTGGGTAACAAGAGCGAAACTCCGTCTGAAAAAAAAAAAAAGAAAGATGGGCACAAATAAGATGAGAATGTGAACACTACAATACTTAACTCTTCAATGCCTAGACACTGACAAACATCTACAAGCATCATGATTATCCGGGAAAACAGGACTTTGCCAAATGAACTAAATAAAACACCAGTGACGAATCCTGGAAAAACAGAGACGTGACCTTTCAGACAGTGAATTCAAAATAGCTGTTTTGAGAAAACTCAAAGAAACTCAAATAACAGAGAAGAAATTCAAATTTCTATCAGATAAATTTAACAAAGAGATTGAAATAATTGTAAAGGATTGAGCAGAAATTATGGAGTTAAAAATGCAACTGACATACTGAAGACTGCATCAGCATCTCCTAACAGCAGAACTGATCAAGCAGAAGAATTAGTAGTCTTGAAAACATGCTATTTGAAAATACAGTCAGAGGAGACAAAAGAAAAAGGAATGAAGCATGCCTGTAAGATCTAGAAAACAGGCTCAAAAGGGTAAATGTAAGTGTTATTGACCTTAAAGAAGAGACAGAAAGACAGACAGAGGCAGAAAGTTTATTTGAAGGGATATCAGAGAACTTCCCAAACCTAGACAAAGATATCAGTGTTCAAATACAAGAAGATAATAGAACACCAAGCAGATTTAAGCCAAAAAAGACAACCTCAAGGCATTTAATAACCAAACTCGCAAAGGTCAAGGATAAAGAAATGATCCTAAAAACAGCAAGAGATAAAGAACACAAAAAGAAGCTCCAATACATCTACCAGCAGACTTCTCAGTGCAAATCTTATAGACCAGGAGACAGCGGCATGATGTTTTTAAAGTGCTGAAGGAAAAAAAAAAATCATTTACCTTGGAATAGTCTATCCAGTAAAAATAGCCTTTATTATTATTATTATTATTTTAAAATCTAACCTTGATAAATAAAACTAAATGTTTATTTACACCAAAGAATTCCAACACTGGACCTTTCACATATGAAGGACAAAGTATTCTATATATACACACACAGCAAGGGGTGGCAGGGCTGTAACAAGAGAGTTTATAATCTTTAAACATGAAAGAGAATAACAGAACTTTCCAGAAAAACAAAAGCTGAGGCATTCCATCAACACTAGACCTGTCCTACAAGATATGCTAAAGGTAATTCTTTAACAGAAAAGAATGTTAATGAGTAAGAAGAAATCATCTCAAGGTACAAACGTCACTGGTAATAGTAAACACATAGAAAAATACACAATATTATAACACCGTAACTGTGTATAAGCTACTCTCAAGTAGAAAGACTAAATGATGAACCAATTAAAAATAATAATTACAACAACTTTTTAAGACATAGACAGTACAATGAGATAAACAGGAACAACAAGTTAAAAACTAGGGAGATAAAAGTATAGAGTTTTTATAACTTTTCTTTTTGCATGTTTATGTAATCAGTGTCAACTTGTCATCAGCTTAGATCGATGGCTTACAAGATAGTATTTGCAAGCCTCACAGTAACCTTAAGTCAAAAAACATACAATGACCACACGAAAAATAAAAATCAGGAAATTATACCACAAGAAAAAATCACTTTCAATAAAAAGAAGACAGGAAGGGATACTACAAGACAACCAGAAAACAAATAATGAAATGGCAGGATTAAGTCCCTTATTAGTAATAACCCTCAATGTAAGTGGACTAAATTCTTCAATCAAAAGATAGACTGAGTGGATGATGAAACAAGACCCCATGATCTGTTGCTTACAAGAAACACACTTCACCTATAAAGATATACATAGACTGAAAATAAAAGGGTAGAAAAAGATATTCTACACCAATGGAAACAAACAAACAAAAAGGCAGGAGAACCTATACTTAAACAAAATAGATTTCAAAACAAAAACTGTAATAAGACACAAAGAAGGTCATTATATAATGCTAACGGGGTTCACCCAACAACAGGATATAATCACTATAAATATATATGGACACAACACTGGAGCACCCAGATACATAAAGCAAACATTATTTGAGCTAAAGGGAGAGCTGCACCACAATACAATAATAGCTGGAAACCTCAGCACCACTTTTAGCACTAAACAGCTCTCCCAGAAATTCAACAACCATCAGACTTAATCTGCACTACAGAACAAAAGGACCCAACAGACATTGCAGAACATTTCATCCAAAGACTACAGAAGACACATTATTCTTCTCAGCATATATATCCTTCTCAAAAACAGGCCATGTATTTTAGGTCACAGAACAAGTTATAAAATATTTTAAAAACTGAAACAATATCAAGCCTCTTCTCTGAATGCATGAAATAAAACTAGAATAAGGACAACTTTGGAAACTATACAAAGACATAGAAATTAGGCAATATGCTCCTAAATGACCAATGGGTCAATGAAGAAATTAAGAAGGAAATTTAGAAATTTCTTGAAACAAATGATAATGGAAACACAACATACCAAGATCTATGAGATAGACTGAAAACGGTCCTAAGAGGGAAACATGTAGCTGTAAGTGCCTATAACAAAAAAGAATAAAAATTTCAAATAAATGAATTAGCAATGCATCTTTTTTTTTCTTTCTGTTTTCTCCTCCAGAGATTCACTCTGTTGCCCAGGCTGTAGTGTAGTGGCACAATCATGGCTTACTACAGCCGGGACCTCCCTGGGCTCAACAATCCTTCCTCCTTAGCCCCCCAAGTAGTTGGGACTGCAGGCATGCATCACCACATCTGACTAATTTGTATTTTTTGTAGAGATGGAGTTTCACCATGTTGCCCAGGCTGGTCTCAAACTTCTGGGATCAAGTAATCCATTTGCCTTGGCCTCTCAAAATGCTGGGATTACAGGCATCAGCCATCACATCCAGCAAACAATGTATCTTAAAGAACCAGAAAAGCAATAGCAAACCAAATCCAAAATTACCAGGAGAAAAGATGAAGATCAGAGCAAAAATAAATGAATTTGAAATGAAGAAAAGATCAATGAAACAAAAAGGTTTTTTTTAAAAGATAAGCAAAATTAGCAGAGTAACAAAGAAGGGAGATAAACCAAATAAATACAATTAGAGATTAAAAATGAGGCATTACAACTGACACTGCAGAAATTCAAAGGCTCGTTAGTAGCTATTATGAGCAACTATATGCCAAGAAATTGGAAAATCTAGAGGAAACTAATAAATTCCTAGACACACACATACAACCTGCCAAGATTGAACCATGAAGAAATCCAAAACCTAAACAGAACAATAACAAGTAACAAGATTGAAGCCATAATAAAACAATTTTCCCAGTAAAGAAAAGCCCAGGACATGATGACTGCACTGCTGAATTCTATCCAACATTTCGAGAACTAATACCAATCCTACCCAAACTATTTCGAAAATTAGAGGAGGAGGGAGTACTTCCAAACTCATTTTATGAGGCTAGTATTACCCTGATACAAAACCAGACAAAGACACATCAAAAAAAGAAAAGTACACACCAATCTCTCTAATGAATGTTGATGTAAAAATCCTCAAAAAATACTAGCAAACTGAATTCCATAACACATTAAAAATATCATTTGCCCTGACCACATGGGATTTACCCCAGGGATGCAAGGCTGGTTCAACATACACAAATCAATCAATGTGATACATCATATCAACAGAATGAAGGACAAAAACCATATGATGATTTCAACTGATCCTGGAAAAGCATTAGATAAAATTTAACATCCCTTCATGATAAACACTTAAAAAACTAGGTATGAAAGGAACAGACCTCAATATAATACTAGCTATATGACAGACCCACAGCTAGTATCATACCAAATGGGAAAAACTGAATGCCTTTCCTTTAAGAACTGGCCCATTTTCACCACTGTTATTCAACACAGTACTGAAAGTCCTAACTAGAGCAATCAGACAAGACAAAGAAATAAACGACATTCAAATCAGAAGGAAGCACTCAAATTATCCTTGTTTGCAGATGGTGTGCTCTTATATTAGGAAAAAACTAAAGACTCCATCAAAAATTATTAGAAGTGATAAACTCAGTAAAGTTGCAGAATACAAGATCAACATACAAAAATCAGTAGCGTTTCTATATGCCAATGGTCAACAATTGGAAACAAAATAAAAAAGTAATCCCACAAATAAAAAAGGGCCACAAATAAAATTAAATACCTAGGAGTTAACATAACCAAAGCAGTAAAAGATCGCCACAACAAAATCCATAAAACATTAAAGCAAGAAACCGAAGAGTTCACAAAAAAAAAATGAAAAGATATTTCATGTTCATGGATTAGAAGAATCAGTATTGTTAAAATGCCCATACTACCCAAAGCAATCAACAGACTCAATGCAACCCCTCTCAAAATACCAATTGCATTTTCACATAAATAGAAAAAACAATCCTAAAATTTATACAAAATCACCAAAGTCCCAGAACAGCCAAAGCTATGTTAAGCAAAAGGAGCAAAACTGGATAAATCATATTACCTGACTTCAAATTATACTATCAAGCTACAGTAACCAAAACATCACCGAAGTGGCATAAAAACGGACATACAGACCAAAATAGAGAAAAATCCAGAAACAAATCCACACACATACAGTGAACTCATTTTTGACAAAGTTGCCAAGAACACATACTGGATAAAGGACAGTCTCTTCAATAAATGTTGCTGGGAAAACTGAATATCCACATGCAGAAGAGCAAGACTAGACAACCTTCCTCTTCCCATATACAAATATTAAATCAAAATGGATTAAAGACTTAAACCTAAGAAGTTAAAACTATGAAATTACTAGAATAAAACACTGGGGAAACAGGACATTGGAGTAGACAATGATTTCTTGAATAATACGCCACAGGCACAGGTAACCAAAGCAAAAATGGACAAATGGGATCACATCAAGTTAAAAAGGTTCTGCAGTGAAGGAAACAATAAAGTGAAGAGACCACCCACAGAATGGGAGAAAATATTTGCAAACTACTCATCACAAAGGATTATAAGGCAGAAAATATACAGAGCTCAAACAACCCTATAGGAAAAAAACCTAATAACCCAATTCAAAAATGGGCAAAAGATCTGAATAGACATTTCTCGAAAAAAAAAAAAAACTGCAAACAGGCATTAAAAAATGTGTTCAACATCACTGATCATCAGAGAAATGCAAATCAAAACTACAACATCATCTCACCTCTGATAACATGGCTTATATCCAAAAGACAGGCGTTAACAAATGCTGGTGAGGATGTCGAAAAAGGGAACCCTGGTACACTGTTGGTAGGAATGTAAATTAGTACAACCACAAAGGAAACAGTTTGGAGGTTCCTCAAAAAATTAAAGTTATCATATGATCCAGCAATCCCACTGCTGGGTATATGCCCCAAAGGGGGGAAATCAGTATATCAAAGAGATACGTGCACTTCCATGTTTGTCACAGCACTATTCGCAACAGCCAAGATCTGGAAGCAACCAAAGTGTCCTCGAACAAATGAACAGATAAATAAAATGTGGTACGTATACACAATGGAGTACTGTTCAGCCATAAAAGATAACGAGCCCCTGGCACTTGCAACAACATGGATGTAACTGCAAGTCACTGAGTGAAATAAGCCAGGCACAGAAAGACAAACATCACATATTCTCACTTATTTGAGGTATCTGAAAATCGAAACAACTTAACGTGGAGATAGAGAGTTAAGCATGGTTACCAGAGGTTGGGAAGGATAGTGGGGGATGCAGGGGAGGGAGATAAGGATGGTTAATGGGTATAAAAAAATAGTTAGAAAGAATGAATAGTATCTAGTATTTGAGAGTACACAGGTTTATTATGGGCAAAATAATTGTACATTTTAAAATAGTAAAGAGTGTAACTGGATTGTAACACAAAGGATAAATACTTGAGGGATGGATACCCCATTTTCCATGATGTGATTATTACACAATGCATGCCTGTATCAAAATATCTCATTTACCTCATAAATATACACACTTACTATGTAAGTACAAACATTAAAATTTTAAAAAAGAGAGAGTAAACAAAAATTAAATATGAGAAACCTTATATTGTTCGCTTCTGCAGGGGTGGGAATCCACTCCTCAACCCCTTTTCTAGCTTGTCTCAGTTTTCTATTATGTTTTTATTTGTAGGGAGAAATTCTTTTTAGGGGGCTCTCTAAGCAGAAAATGTAATGATCTGTCATTCTACTATAATGTGGGGTCCTTTTGTACAAGTATTTTCCTACTCTTCAGACACTGGCAAAAACTAAAAGGTGAAATAAAAATATTTTTAGTAAAACATTTAATTATAAATCTAACTAGCAAATCTGTAGCCATTATCAAAATATGTTACTTTAAATGTTATGTATGATACATTTCTTATTCCTTAACAAATAATCATTGATTTGTACAAGGCATTAAGATAAAATATTGCCTAGGTTTTCTTCCCTGGTTCCATCAACTCCATTTTGGGGGATGGGGAGGCAGAAATTAAGAATTAAAATTAGGTAAGAACTGGTAGAAAGCTTGAAAGTAGACTCTTTACACCTCTAACGAGAGTTACTCTATCCTATCAATTAATAATAATAATTTACAATGAGAATTTAGATGACTGGTGCATCTAAATGGAAAATACTTTTTCAGTGGCTTTCAGAAAATGTGTGCTTATTAAAAACTTACACATACACACATACCTATACCTATGCATATATATTCATGTTAGGTTTATAATAATTCATTGAACTGAACACTCATGCTTTGGCTAATTTTTTGTACATATATCATACATCAAATTAAAAAGTTAAAACACAAGCACTTATATGGAATTATTAATAACTGTACATTTACTTACTATTATTTCCTTAGCTTGTCGAACCACGTCAGCTGTTTTTGCCTGCAATTCTGCATTTAAACGCCTAAAAGCAGAAAGTAATAACTGAAATATACTGAAGATCCTAACAAAAATAAAAATTAAACTTTAGCAATTACACCTTATCAAGTGACCTAATCAACAAATGCCAATATATACATATAGCATCTTTACTCTAAAATGAATACAGCCGTTAAGAACTTATCCTCAGCTCATGATTCCTCCTCCCTTGTGGGAGGAACTCAAACACTAAGTATTAGCCTTTCTGTGGCCGTCTATTAACTTCAAGTGAACTAACTTATCTGACTAATACATTTAGGAAGAATCAACTGGTTAAGTTCAACTCTGTTCCATTCACTACCTTCTTGGGGTTAGCCTACCAGCAGAGAATACAAATTCTAACCTTGCTTCTCCAGAGACAGGCCCTGTTCTAATTGTGGGCAGAGTGTTGGGAAGACCTGCTCTGGTCTGGGGTGTTGCTGGAACTGGGGAGCTAAATGTGAGGTTTGGTGAGCAGACACAATGTGGCTCACATTTCAGCTACACACTTTAATATCAAGCTTCCTCAGAAATAAAGGTGACTATATTGATCTCTACCTATCACTCTTTTAATTATGCTTTTTTTTTTTTTTTTTTTTCCTGAGACGGAGTTTCACTCTTGTTACCCAGGCTGGAGTGCAATGGCGCGATCTCGGCTCACCGCAACCTCCACCTCCTGAGTTCAGGCAATTCTCCTGCCTCAGCCTCCCGAGTAGCTGGGATTACAGGCATGCACCACCATGCCCAGCTAATTTTTTGTATTTTTAGTAGAGGTGGGGTTTCACCATGTTGACCAGGATGGTCTCGATCTCTTGACCTCGTGATCCACCTGCCTCGGCCTCCCAAAGTGCTGGGATTACAGGCGTGAGCCACCGCGCCCGGCTATGCTTTTTTATTCTACTTGGAAACTAGCAAGAATAGGAATACTGTTTACTTGATCCTACATTAAGACTGCAAGAATGACAATATTATTGAAAGAAACTGTTTTTAAAGGAAAAACTGCCCATAACTCTACCACCACCATCCAACCATTTTTATTTTTAATACTCTCTTCCAGTTTTTATCTATAGCATATACACAATTTTATACTGTTTTCCCACAGCAATATAAAAGAAATACCTATCTCGATCTAATCTTTATAAGCATGTTACATAGCTATACAATAATTCAATAAATTGAAATTAATATAATGTACTGACCTCTGTCACTATTGTTATGTCCCCCTTTCACTTTTAAAGGTTAACACCACAATAAACATATTCAGAAGCATATCACTTTTTCTACTGTTGAAATGTCACATTTCTAGACTATCTAGGATCTTTTGAGGTTATGTGAAGGAGATATGTTAAGGATTTTAAAAATTAGATATCTTGTTTTTCTTCGACATGTAATTCAGAAGTAACACAAAACACAATTTCCATCCCCAGGGAAAAAAAGGGGGAGATCAGTACCATATCCTTTAACAGCATGAAGCTTTAAGAAATATTTCTATATCTTAGGATCACTTGGTCAAAAGAAATATACCTATGAAAGACTTAAAGGTGTCTTTAAAGTGTCATTACTTGATTTTTCACATTTCCCTAACAAGAATCACAAGGACTTAACTGGAAGTTTCCAATTAATATAATGGACCCAGATGATTGAGACAACAATTCTACTCTAAATCCACAGAAATGTCTGATAAAATGTAATGGAGGAAACATTGCTAAGCTCAAACTCAGGCAAGGGAAATGCCCTGGCACTAAGAATAAAGCAGCAATGCAAACTGAGAGCAATAAACAGGAACAGAAGCCAAAATAGCTGAAAAGCTAGAAGTTGAAGCATGTAAGACATGAAGGGATAAACCTGTGAAGCACAAACTACAAAAACTCTACCCGCAACCTTAGGTGAGCAGAAAGGAAACCAGAGCCATGGGCAGAAAAGATTCTCTTGTGAGTAATTAAACAAGAGGGAAGTCCAAATTCATCTTATCCAGATGATACAGGGACACCATGCCAAAACTTTAAAATAGAAAAAGCTGGTGTGGAATCAATGAAAACTCTGAACTCGTAAAGGTAAATTGAAAACCACCCTATAAGGACATTCACTCGTCTACAATATATAAACTTTCTCAGAAAGCAAACTGCTAAAGGTGACTTCAAAAAGGTAACAAATTGTGTAAAGAAATAAGCCAAGGAAAGAGAGAATCAGCAGATGTGAGGAAACAGAAAATTTGTATTCTAGGAAAAAGAGATACTATTAATAATTTTTAAAAGATTTTAAATTACCATTTTGAAAAAAAAAAAACACACACAAATGAAAAACATTAGGCAAGACTCAGATTTTATCACAAAAGAATGTTGAATTTGAAAAAGATCCAAATACAAATTATATACATGAAAATCACAGGCACTGAAATTAAGAAATCCGATAAAAAGGAATGTGTGAATTAGAAGACAGATAGAAAGAAATCACCTACAAGGAGATACAGAAAACAAAGGGATAAAAACACAAAAGACAGGTTAACATCCATTAAAGACAGATGTTATGTACCTACTATAACAGAAATTATAGAAAGAAATCCCAGAGAGGGCTGAGTGCGGTGACTCACACCTGTAATCCCAGCACTTTGGGAGGTGGGGAGGAAGGATCACTTGAGGCCAGGAGACCAGCCAACATGGAGAAACCCCAACTCTCCTAAAGAAATACAAAAATTAAGGCCGGACATTGTGGCTCATGCCTGTAATCCCAGCACTTTGGGAGGATAAGGCAGGCAGATCACCTGAGGTTAGGAGCTCAAGACCATCCTGGCCAACATGGTGAAACTCTGTTTCCACTAAAAATACAAAAATTAGCCAGGCATGGTGGCAGGCACCTGTAATCCCAGCTACATGGGGGGCTGAAGCAGGAGAATCACTTGAACCCAGGAGGCAGCGGTTGTTGTGATCTAAGATCACGCCACTGCACTCCAGCTTGGGCAACAAAAACGAAACTCTATCTAAAAAAAAAAAAAAAAAATTATCCGGGTGTGGTGTGTGGTGTTGCTCGCTGGTAGTCCCAGCTACTCAGGAGGCTGAGGCATGAGAATCGCTTGAACCTGGGAGGTAGAGGTTGCAGTGAGCCAAGATCCTGTCACTGCACTCCAGCCTGGGCAACAGAGCAAGATTCTGTCTCCAAAAGAAAAGAAAAGACAAGATATCCCAAGAGGAGAGAATGTCAATATTTAGAGAGCTAATGCTGAGAATCTCCCAAACTGAAAACATGGATCTCATGAAGAATAAAGAAAACAAATCTACACGTGTATACATCATAGTAAAAGTACAGAATTTTAAAGAGAAAGAGAGTACTCCCTAAACTACCAAATCATTATTTCAAAAGAACAGAGAAAAATAGTCTATCACCATAATTATCTAAAAAGCTAACAGCAGACGACTCATTAATGTTTCTAACATTCTAACATTTCTACCCTTGTATTTCCAACAGACAATATAAGGATATCTTTAATGGGCTGAGAAAGAAAAACTGGCTATCTAGAATTACATTCAGATAAACCGTCGTTGAAGAATAAGTGCAAAGTAACAATCTTCTAATAGACTGAAGAGTTTAAGACTTAGTTTTTCACAGAAGGAAGTAATGAAGCATCTATACTTCAGGAAGGAGGAAAACTGAATCTGGAAAAAAAGAAATCATGAAGATATCGAAAAACATGCTAAATCTAAACTAGTACAGACTATAAAAATAACACTGATGATTAACTGGGTGTGGGTGTATTCAAAACAACAAAGTAAAATATCATCTAACTTAAAGGACAGAGGAAACCAAGTTAAAGCATTCTAATATCTTTCCAAATCAGTAACAATAAAGACATAATGAAAATCCATTCAATCCAGCATCAGAGAGACAAGAACCAAAGGCAAGACATAATAAATACAAAACAGGCCGGGTGCGGTGGCTCAAGCCTGTAATCCCAGCACTATGGGAGGCCGAGGCGGGTGGATCACGAGGTCAAGAGATCGAGACCATCCTGGTCAACATGGTGAAACCCCGTCTCTACTAAAAATACAAAAAAAAAAAAAAATTAGCTGGGCATGGTGGCGCGTGCCTGTAATCCCAGCGACTCAGGAGGCTGGGGCAGGAGAATTGCCTGAACCCGGGAGGCGGAGGTTGTGGTGAGCCAAGATCGCGCCATTGCACTCCAGCCTGGGTAACAAGAGCGAAACTCCGTCTCAAAATAAATAAATACAAAACATAAAAAATAAGGTGGCTAAGACAACTTCAAGTTATGTAATAATGTAAACAAGTTAAATTCACTTAATTAACAGGCAGAAATTATCAGACTGGTTATAAAAAGAATGCTCTTATTGATAAATGACATACAAAGTTTGAAAATAAAGGATGAAGAAAGCTATAATAGACTCCGCATAAGAATGAAAGGAATCAACAAGATTTACCTAAGGCAAATAAGATACTCCCAAACAAAAATGGCCACAATTACAATGAATTTTTTTCTATAACTGATGATTTTTAATACACTTCTAACAGAAACCAATAAAACCAGAATGAACAAAAAAGTTGAGTTTAAGAAACCGTTATCATGGATAACAAATATAATTGGCTTAATCTAACAGGTTAGCCAACAAATAAAAAATATACTTTCTATAAAAGAACACATAGAACTTCTACAAAAAGTGAACATGCATTTGGCCACAAATAAGTCTCAATACATTTAAAAAAACTTAGTATCTTATCAATTATCTAATCATAATGCAATTTAAAATAAACTAGGCCGGGCATGGTGGCTCATGCCTGTAATCTAAATCAGAATAATAATAATTTGGGAGGCTGAGGCAAACAGATTGTTTGAGTTCAGGAGTTAAAGACCAGCCTGGGCAACATGACGAAACACCCTCTCTACAAAAAATATAATACAAAAATTAGCCGTGTGTGCTAGCACATGCCTGTAGTCCCAGCTACTCAGGAGCCTGAGAGGTGAAGGTTGTAGTGGGTTGAGATCACGCCATTGTACTCCAGTCTGTGCAACAGATTGAGACCTTGCCTCAAAAAAAAAAAAAAAAAAGTTAGCCTGGCATGGTGGCATGTGCCTATAGTCCCAGCTCCTTGGGAGCCTGAGGTGGGAAAACCTCTTGAGCCCAGGAGTTCAAAGCTGCAGTGAGCCATAATTGCACCACTGCACTCCAGCCCGGGCAACAGAGCAGGACCCTGTCACATACATACTTAGAAAAGTAAAAAGTAGACAACAGCAAACAACTCTATGTGCTTGCAAACTAAAAAACACCCTTCTAAATAATCACTATGAAATCACGTAATATTTAGAACTTAATAACCATAAGAGAAATATACATCAAAAGAAGTCTTGGAATGTAGTTAAGCTACAGATGGAGAGAAATTTAAAGACTTAAATATATTTATTAAAAAATAAGAAAACAATAAATGAGGTCAAGAAACTAAAAAAAAAAAAAAAAATTAATCCACCCCAGTGTAGAAGAGATGGTCTGTCTGTCTTTATTTCTATAAAGATTAATGAAATTTTATAATAGCACAGATTACCAAGAAAACCAAACCTGGTTCTCTGAAAAGACCAATAAGACAGATAAATCTCCCGGGACAAAAATAAACAATGTTGGAAAGCTACCAAAAGGAGGGGTGTACATGGTTACAGATACAGTAAAGATTTCAAACATACAACCATAGAGTCAGTTTACGCTAATATATTTTAAAACACACATGCACACTTTTCTAGAACCAAAAATTATTCTAGATATAGAACATCTAAATAGATAAGTAATCATTAAAGAAGCTAAATTCATAGACAAAAAGAGTCTCCTTAACAAAAGAACACTACACTGACACAGTTTCACAACTTTAATCAAACGGCAAAAAAAATCTCTAATTATAAAAAGCTCCCAAGAAAAGAAGCAAAACAAGAAAACTATTCAGTTTATTTCATCTAGCCAGAATAATACTGATATTAAAAACAGAAAGGATAAGAACTAGAAAAAAAGTATAACACCCATTTCACTTTTGTTCATAGATGAAAAAACCTACATAAAAAATTACACCCATCAAATCTAGCAGTCTTTAAAGGAAAACAGGAAAACTGCCTTTGCAGTTCAGTATGTTAAAGCATTAAAGGAGGGAAAAAGAACATACCACCACCTGAATTAATTGGGGAAAAAAGAAGTTTTGATATATTAAACACTCATTCAAATTAGGATTTAAGGGGAAGAATTTTAAACACAAAAAAAGAATCTACCAAAACCCTAGAGCAAACCTCAAATGTAGTGATTATTAAAAGTGGGCTTCTCAAAATCAAAAACAAGGTAAGGAAGCTCACCATCACTTTTTCTATTCTGTATCACATGGGAAGTCCTAAACAGAGAAAAAGAGAGAATGCAGGAGAATTATCAAGGGAGAAAATGATCATAATTTGCATATAACTGTCTTCATCAAAAATCCAAGGGACTTCATAGAATGAATAAGAGTCCAGCAGGACTGAAGATCTGTGTTTGTATGTAAATATAGATGTAGCACCAACATCTAAAAATCCTACATTTATAACCAATTAGAAAATATAATAAAGTCCACTTATTACATAGCAACAAAACCTATTCAGCACCTTGAAGCAAATTATATATGCAAGAATTTTATGTAGTAAAACAAAACACTATTAAAGGTTAAAAAAAACACCCTGTAAATGGAGAAGTATCATATTTGTGGAAGATTCAATAGCATAAATAAGTCCGTTATCTGCAAATTAATCTGTAAATCCAATGTAACTGGGATTTATGAGGGGGCTTGCCCTACCAGTTATCACGTAACCTTACTGTTTAGCTATTGGTATAATACAGGAATGAAGCTTAAAAAACCTATCCACTTGAGTGGTTAGCATCTTCCTTAGTCTATCCTCTCAAATAGTGATTATTTCCTCCAACAGGAGCAGAATTGCAAAAGGTTTTCGATTCAGGGCCCTAGGAAGTAGCGTTCTAATGATTAATGCCGAGACAACAGGTGACAAAATAGATACCACACTGTTATAATCTCATATTCTTGCTTATAGAGATGGCCAGACATTTTACTCTTCTACCTGACACAGAAGTACTCTAGAAGATTCAGGTAGTGTAGAGAGTTGCTCCGTTCATATGCTTCACATGTGCACAACTCAGTACAGAAAACAGAACAACTAACAACTGGCCACCAAGTAATACTGTTTAGGATCTCGCTTTATAAAACAACTCATGCTAGAATAATAGTCCCTGTATATTTCTTATTTTAAGCAGGACGATATCCCTAACGATGCACCAGCGCCAGGTGCAAAATATACTCTCAACTATATAGACAACAGATTAAGTTGATTAAGTACACTTGAGATCTGGGATAATAGGCACATTTGATCAGAGATAAGAAGAAATGATTATCTTCCTACTTGCTGTGGTAAATTGGTGTATAGTTCATCTAAACAGAGTACTCTTCAGTGTTAATTTCAAATATATATCATATGTAGCTCACACAGTAACTCTAACCCTCTGACACAAACTCCCAACTATTTACAAATTTTAAACTAGTTATTTTATATTAAATCAAAAAGAAAGGGAGTTGTTTTAGACACTTTTTTTATGAGGGTATGCACAATGGCAAATAAACAGACATGGTCTCTGCCCTTGGAACTTACAGTCCAGTGGAAAAGACAGACAAAAAGGAAATTAACAAATGAATTTATTGTAACAAATTATGCTAACTAGAAAGAAAAATCAGGAGGACGATTAAAAAGACCAACAAGGGAGCCTACTTAGCATGGTCAAGGAAGGCCACTCACAATACAGGTTGAAGGCGTGTGTGAATTGTCTCTTTCCTGAGACAGAAAAAAAAACTGAGTGTTTTCGAACTAAAAGGCCAGTTAAGCTGGAGAGTTTTAGGGGGGAAATGGGAACGGGAATAAGATCAAGTAAAAAGGGCGCAGGAGGAGCTTTTAAAGTTTAAGAGGAAACCGCTGTAGTGTTTTAAGCAAAGGAATTGCATGATCAAATTAAAAGATTACATTGGCTGCTGTGTGAAAACTTAGGGATGATGAGTGGAATGGGCCAGGAACGAAAGCTTGTCAAGATACTTGTAATTACACTGAGACCAGATAAGGAAAATTTGAACGAGAACGGTAATTCTGATTGCACTAGGAAGCATGCTTCAATTTAGAAACCAATGTAAAGGAAATTTACGTAAGGTAAACTCTATGAACTTGCTACTAAGCGAATAGCCTAAACTAGGAACTGAACTATTCGTGGCAATTCCTGCTACTCAAATAACTTCCAAAAGCATATTGCTGTTTACTTGGGCTATACTTTCGCCCACTTCAAATATCTTCTAAGACGCAGGCGAACTACTCAGGTGAAAGACAAAGGATAAACTGCGAGTGAACGAGATGACGAGAAGGGAATGCTGCAGAGTGGTCCTGAAGATCCAGCCAGTCTTCAGAAAAAGTACTTGTAAGCAACCTTATTTAGATGAAAGAAGGAAGGAAAGCTCAACCGCAGAATTTCTTACTTATACTCTTCCTCCAAAGCGAGGAGGTCCGGTCCAGGTGTAGAGGGTTGCTGAACGGGTGGCCGGAGCGGAGTTCCTGGAACGCTGCTTCTCTGTAAAAGAGGGAGAGAGTTTCAGACCCGATGATAAAGGAGGTTAGGCATCCTAGTCGCCGGAGCCCGGACGCTCCCCAGGAGCCTGGAGTTGAACTGACCGAGAGACCGAGACTTCGCCCCGCCATCTTCAGCAACAGCCACGCGGTTACCGAGGCAACGACGCACCTTCCCGCGAGAGTTTCCGCATCCCGGGCAAACTCCCGGCCCGCCGAGGCCTTCCCATTTCCAGGTTCTGTGCGGAAAGTGGTGGGAGGTTCTGGCAGTGGGTCCGACCCTTAGTCGCACCACTCAGCACTGCCCCAGGAGCTAACTGCGAATTCGACATACAGCCAGTGCAAATTATCAGCTTGGGGTGGCGGGGGGCGGGGGAGCGTGTAGGAGTTTTAACCAAAACAGGCAGGTTCATTGCTGCTACTCCACAGAAAGCAAGCTGGTGGGGAAGTCCCTTCCTGTTTTGCTTTTCAAACCCTTAGTGGCTACTGACCTTCACTCCATTTGTTTAAAGTGAACTCTTCAGTGGAATTCTGAAGTTTTGATTTCTAACTTTTATTTACAGCATGCACGGCTAAGATCGCAGGCTCTCAAGTTAGTCAACCTAAATTCTTACACTGGCACTGCCACTTAGTTAGTTACTTATGTGGCCTTGGGCAAAACACTCTGTATCTTGGCCACTTCATCTGTCAAAAGGGAGTGAGAATAGTGCCCACTTCACAGTTATTGTGAGAAACAAATGAATTCATGCTTAGGATCATGCCTGAAACACGTAAGCAGTTAATAATTCCAATTGTTTTGGAATAAAATGGACGTCCAGAAATAAACCTTAATGTGTGTATGGTCAACTGATCTTTAGCAAAGGTGCAAGACCATTCAATGGGAAAAAAAAATCATCTTTAACAAATGGGGAGACAACTGGATATCCTAGTGCAAAACAATGCAGTTAGATCCTTGCTTCACATCATATACAAAAATTAAAATGGAACACAGACCTAAATGTAGGAGTTAAAACTCTAAAGCTCTTCAAAGACACTGTTGGTTCAAATCTTTATGACGTTGAATTACAATTCTAAGACTCTTTGATGGATTCTTAGCTATGACAACTGAAAGCATTACCAAAAAAAAAANATTACCAAAAAAAAAAAAAGAAAAAAAAGGCAATAGATAAATAAAATCAGCTGGGTCCAGTGGTGCATGTATATAAACTATTGAAGTTTATATTGACTATAGTCCCAACTACTCAGGAGACTGAGACGGGAGGATCGCTTGAGCCTGGGAGATCAAGGCTACAGGAAGCCATGGTCACACCACTGCACACAAGCCTGGGTGACAGAATGAGACCTTGTCTCAAAAAAATAAATAAATAAAATAGACAACCCATGTAAAAATGGGCAAAGAATCTTGAATAGGGGTTTCTCCAAAGAAAACATACAAATAACCAAAAAGAACATGAAAAGATGCTCTATATTGTTAGTCTTCAAGGAAATGAAAATTAAAACCAAAATTAAATGACACTTGACACCCACTAAAACAGCCATCCAAAAGGATGGACAGCCAGGTGCAGCGGCACACCTGTAATCCCAGCACTTTGGGAGGCCAAGGTAGGTGGATCACCCAAGGTCAGGAGTTTTAGACCAGCCTGGCCAACATGGTGAAACCCAGTCTCTACTAAAAATACAAAAAATTAGCCAGTCATGGTGGCACATGCCTGTAATCCCAACTACTCAGGAGCCTGAGGCAGAAGAATCACTTGAACCCAGAAGGCAGAGGTTGCAGTGAGCAGAGATCACACCACTGCACTCCAGCCTGGGCAACAGAGGGAGACTCCATCTCAAATAAGTAAGTAAGTAAGTAAGTAAGTAAGTAAGTAAATAAATAAATAAATAAATAAAAGATGGCCAATAGAAGGATGTAGAGAAACTTGAACCCTCATAAACTGTTAGTAGGAATGTGAAAATTGTACAGCCACTGTGAAAAGTGGTCTAGCCATTCTTCAATAGTTTATATACAGAGTTACCACATAATCCAGCAACCACTACTAAGCATACACCCAAGCAAAATGAAAACATAATGCACACGAAAAGTATATATACAAATGTTTATAGCAGGATTATTCATAATAGCCAAAATACAAAACAAACCCATAATGGTCATAAACTGATTAGTGGTTGAATAAAAACTGGTATATTCATACAATGGAATATTAATCAGAAACAAAAAAGAATGAAGCATATATATACAGCAATATGGATGAACCTTGAATCTATTACGCTAAGTGAAAGACGCCATTCACAAAAGATCAACTATTATCTAATGTCATTCACAAAAGATCACACACTATAGCATTCTATTTCAATATAACTGCATGTTATAGGAAATGTCCAAAAAAGGCAAATCTAGAGAGACAGAAATAGATTAGTAGTTGCCTAGGCTTGGCAAATAATGGAGGATTAGCTAAGGAGTTACAGGGTTTGGGGGATGCTAGTGAAAAAAATTGAAAATTGATTGTGTTGATGGTGTACAACTCTGTGAATACACTGAAAGCCAATGAATAGTACCTTTTATATGGGTAAATGTAGATATGTGAAAAAAATCACTCAAGCTGTTAAAACATCTTAAAAATAACAAATTATTTATAACATCAATGGATAAAGAAAGGAAGACTATGCTAGCACTAATCAAAAGGAAGCCAGAGTAGCTATATTAATTTCAAACAAAGATGACATCAGAACAAGGAAATTATGAGGGACAAAGAGCAGCATTAATGATAGCGTCAGTTCTCCAAGGGGACAGAACAATCCTGGTGTATATGCTCCTAACAGTGTCAAAATGCGTAAGGCCAAAACTGATTGGATTTGCAAAGAGAAATAGACAAATCCATTATTATATTTGGAGACTTCAACACTACTCCTTCAGTAATCCATAGATTAAGCGGGCAGAAAATCAACAAGAGTTGCTCTAGACAGCACCATCAATCAACTTGATGTAATTGACATTTATAGCACACTTATTTGAATAACAGCAGAATGCACACTTTTCTCAAAGTCTCGTGGAATGTTCACCAAGCCAGAACACATTCTGGGCCATAACACATATTAATAAATTTGAAAGAATAGAAATGATATAGTTTAGAGTAGCTGTAACAAAGTACCACCAAGTGAGTGAATTAAAACAACAGAAATGTATTTTCTCATGGGTCTTGAAGCTAGAAGTCCAAAACCACAGTATCAGAAGGACTATGTTTTGCTTGAAACATGCAGGGGAGAATCTTTCTTTGCCTCTTTCTAGCTTCTGATGGTGGCTGTCACTCCTTGGCATTCCTTGGCTTGCAGCTGCATCACCACAACCTCTCTCTGCCTCTATAATCATGTAGCATTTTCTCTGTGTGTTTTTGTGTTTACATGGCATTCCTGCTTTTCATAAAGACTCCAGTAATATTGGATTTTGGCCACCCTAGTGACCCCACCGTAACTTGATTACATCTGTAAAGATCATATTCACAGGTACTGGGGGTTCAGACTTCAATATATAGTAGGGAGGGAGAGGTGGCACACTTCAACCTATAACAGAAACTATGCAAACTGTGGTCCCAGACCACAGTGAAACGAAACTAAAAATCAGTAACAAAACAGCTGGAAAACCACAAAATATCTGCAAATTAAATCCACACTTCTAAATAATACATGGATCAGGTAAATATCTAGAAGAATTAAAAAACATTTTGAACTAAATAAAAATTGAAATATAACATCAAAACTCGTGGAATTCTCTGAAAGCAGTGCTTGGAGTGCTTAGCATTCAATGCATATATTAGAAAAGAAGAAAAATCTAAACTCGATCTGAATGTCTACCTTCAGCAGCTAAAGGAAAAATATTAAGATTAAGGAAAGCAAAAGAAAGGTAACAATAAACATTAGCTCATAAATCAATGCAATTGAAATCAGGAAACAATAGAGAAAATTACAGAAACCAGAATCTAGTTAAAATCAATAAACTTTTGACTGTGCTGACCAAGAAAAAGAGAAGATCCAAATCGCCTGTTCTGTGTTATTTTCTGTGATGTGCAGTCAGGTGTGTCCATGAGAGGAAAACAACATTTCTTATACTCACACGTCTTAGAAATAGGAGCCATGCCATGCCGTACAGGGTTACATGGGGAAGCCTTGGGGTAGTTAGTCAGGAGGCAGAAAGCAGGAGCCAGAGGAAAGCCTTGACTAGAGCCTTTGTTGGAGTTTCCACAGGAAAAGCAAGGTAGGGTAGAGTAAACAGATTAGGATTGGCTAGTATGAATACTTTCAGAGGGCCTTGGAGTATACAGGTTGTCCCTAGTTATCTGGTAGGTATCTCTGCAATGGTTAAGACAGAGGAAGGCCTGTTGCATATGGGCCAGACAGAGGAGGTATGTCTTGATATTTAGTTTTTTATATACCAAAGCCGTTCTCCCTGGATAAGTCCTTTTGCTTCGCTATGAATTGGCTTGCCTCAGGAGGGCATAGTTTCTCCCAAGTCAGGAAGGATTTTTTAAAAGATGTCAAAACATTATAATATACAGAAAATTTAAAAATATAAGCAATATAGTACCAATATTAGAAATGGGATATAAGTCATCATTAATTGTCCCATGAAAATTAAAACAATAATCAAGGAATACTATGAACTCTATGCCCAAAAATTTAATAAAGTAGATGAAATGGAGCAATTACTTGAAAGATACAAACTACCAAAACTCATGCAAAGAGAAACAGATAATCTGACTAGGCAAGGACGTTGAGTCAATAACCTTCCAAGAAAGAAAACACCAGTCCCAGATGGTTTCTCTGGTAAATTTTAACATACATTTAAGGAGGAAAGACCAATTCTACATAATCTTTTTTTCTGGAAAATAGAAGCAGAAGGAACACTTCCCAATTCATTCTATGAATCTAGCATTACCCTAATATTAAGAGCAACTAAAGACACTGTAGGAAAACTACAGACTGGAATTCCTTATGAATACAGATTTTTAAATCCTTAACAAAATTTTAGCTAATATAATCCAACAATGTCTAAACAGAATTATGGAAGACAAAGAAGTGGGATTTATTCTCAGTATACAAGGATGGTTCAATATTCTAAAATCAATCAATGAACACAGCACATTAAGAGGTTAAAGA